CAATAGGTGTAAAAAAAGCATGTATTCATTGATATTAATTTTATTGGTTTACTCGTTGCGTTTTTCCTATCACTTCAACAGTATGAGATAGATCCTGCTTCTGTCCAGTCAATAATGTGGTCAAAGAAAAAGAATTAAGTCTTATGATACTGTTCAATTCCCATTTTCCACCACATGATTTTTACATCAGTCAAACCGCCCTACTCCAGGAACAGGGCATTCGGTGGATTAGGCCACACCATTGGCATATTTGACAGGCTAATACTCTATTCATAAAGTTATTTCATCGGTGGCTCTTCTGGAACCGCTATGGGGGGGTAAAGGGTTAAACAAATATAATTTCATTTAAACTAAATAGTATTTTCTTACCTTAAATCTACAAAAAAAAATCAGCATACATGGCATTAGTTTTTGAAAAAACTTATTTGATGAAGATTGTTGAATTCTAATAAAAATAGATGAACAATGAAATAAAGTAGTAGCATGGATAAAAATAAGCTTAAGAAATAATGCATGCATTAGACAATATAGAATCATCAAATAAATAAAAACTTCTAAAGAAACATGTTAACAGTCAAGATCGCCCAGATGAGGATAATTGAAATAACGTTGATCAATGATAAAATAAGAAAGTAAACATCGAAGAAATATTACTCATTCAACTACAGAATATTCAACACAGGCATTTTCCAGAATAATTATCTACAACAAAATTAATAGAAATAGTGAAACATTTACATACTAGTTTTAGTCATCGATGATTAAACAAAATGAGAAGAGGATGTCAACATGAAAGATGTAGTTGTGATTATAGAGAGAACGCACACACCCGTACCCAACAATCAGGCATATACAGCTGTAGCATAATATCCGATTTCGATTTATAATCATGCTATCTTGCTGTTTGATATTGACATAAACGTTCATTTGAAAAATGGCTTATGACAAATAAGACACATGTGTTTTCTTCGGACTAGTCAAAAATATAACGGCTCATACATCCATAAAAAAAGTAATTGCCACTTTTGTAAGCCTATCCTATAAGGTTTACCAAATTACTTTCCGGCTGTTGAGTCAGAATGAGAATCTCATCTTGATCCCATATCAATTCTAACATTCCACATTCATTCTGCTCTTCTATACATCATCATTCTCAGTTCTGTTTTATTAATTTCCATGATGGTTTGTACCGTCTTTCGTCATTCAAATGTTACTCATTCTGTTTTCTTTCTGACGATATGCAAATATGAGACGAATATTTGTCTTTCTTCTTCTTTTCTTGTTCTCTGCTCGTAGCTCGTAAAGAGTAATGAAATATCGGTGTAACAAGACGGCTCATTTTTTTCGACTCACACTTTCATTTATTGCGAAGCATGAGTATTTCTCTCCACGACACTTTTTTTATGGCTTGAGTAAGTATTTCAGTTCACAACATTAGCCATTTTTAGCGAGAAGATCTTGAAATTAAACAACATTAATCGACTGATACTTAATGAGAAATGTTAAATTTCGTGTCAACACTCGGATTCAATAGTTTTTTCACAGAAAACTCGACATATAACGACCGCAGTCATACTTGACGAATGTGCTTGCATTTTTCAAATTAAGTTTTTACAATATTTAACTTGAAACATGCAAGTAGTATCACAATTTTCCCATAATAGATTAATTATATATATATATATATATATATTATGTAATTAATTTAAACAGAAATGATGGTATAAGATATGTTCAGATACTCTTTTCAGCTAAAGCCAATACTGAAGTTCGAATTCATACTCTTGAAACTTTAGGCTGATAAAGTGCGCACGAATTCATGAGCTATGGAGTGTGTTAACTCCGATTATTTGCTTCTTAGGATTCAATCATATTTTTTCAAAATATTGTTCTTGTGACAACCCCAAAGAAAGTTTGCTGAACAGTATAATGATAATAGGGTTTTAGAACGACAGAATAAGATATACCACCTTATGAATAACAGAGCGCGTGGTTGCCAAATCATTCATATTTTCAAGCATGGCGTGCCATCGTTTTGTTTTTCTTTCGAACTTTAATTAAAAGAAGTATTCGATAAGCAGATGAATAAGCGTAAGAAAGCATATCTATGCATCACATGTTTTATGTTGAATAATATACTAAATGAAGGCCAATCTGACCTTATTTCTTTGGACAATCGACTGTTCTTCATGGTTGATTTATATCTATGATATACATTATGAAGATCGTAAAGAGTGATTCAAAAGTGTTGATCCCTCTCTGTAAATCGACAATATCAATATACAGCTTTGTAGAAGAAAATTAGAACTATCATCTGAAAAAAATAATACTTCGAAATGCATCAACGTCATGACAAGTTATAACTACATTAGTTACCTTATTGATCATGATTAAATATTTTATATCTTACCTTTTTTTGGAAAAACGAAATGTTCATATAACATCTTAACCCTATTTCGCCGAATGTTGTCATTTGGCAACATTGTGCCAATACTTCGAGAAGGGTTGACTTATACTAGTGATATATAATGTTTTGACAACTCGATAAGTACTATAGGACACTTCAATACATATTCATGATTCATAAGACAAAAAAATCTTTTCTCTGAGAAGATCATAGGATCTACTAGAAATGCTTCAGAAAACATCTTGAAACATTACTTGACAGCTCATCATCTCATAAAAAATATGTAAGATTTTTATTAGTTCGCGCGATTTCCTTCATGTTTTATATTAGAAACAGGATTAGAATTTTTCTTGATATTCATATTCTTGTAGAGTCTGTTGAGGTCTATCTAATCATATAGAAATATCTATTAAAAGCATGTACAAAACAATATTTCGCTTGGCTTTAGCGACTCAAAACATTTAAGACTTTTGTCTTTTTCCGAAAAATGTAAGATGCAAAATGCTTAGTCACTACGAATAAAATGATCATAACTACAAAACTGTATATTTCGATGAATTGTCTATATAAGTATTTGTATAGATATCGTCGATTACAGTGAGGGATTGAAACCTTTGAACCCACTCTTTGGTATATGCTATTGATACTACCAAAAATTGAATTGCGATATTTCGAAGTATCGTATGCCAGTGATTGAATGAAAAGATTGCATTTTTATTGTTGTAGAACGTCAACTTATCTGTAATAATAGCTTTTCGAGAAATGAAAGATCCATCATCTTCAATCGTTCTGTACATCTTGATTTAATGAATTATTTTTGTAGTGCCTTCATAGGTAAAAATACCCTCTACAATGACGACTTTTAATTACGTGGTCGTAGGAGCTGGACCAGCTGGTTTGTCGGCTGGTTACGGATTGCATGTGCACAATGAAAATAACTACTTGTTGATTGATAGTGGTGATAACCTATCGAAACGTGTTCAATCCAACGACCGAACTCATATTGGAGGTGTAGGTGGAGCCGCACTTTTCTCCGATGGTCATTTTATGTTCTATCCAGCCTGCAATAGACTATGGTTGCTTGATGAAGAATGCTTGAGAATAAGCTACAATCAATTAACAAAAATGTTCCGAGGTATTCTCAACATACCAACTTTTCCATATGATCTCAGTATTAAATCTGCCAGCCAAGTCACAACAGCCAACACTATTTTGGGCTGCCGCGCCGACATGGTATTGAATGATGCGACATCAGCCGAAGCTTGTTCCAGGAATACTCAAAACAGTGATGAACAAAGTACCGTGAATGTTGAAGAGCGAAAACAACAGGAGCAATTCGCTTTCCATTTAGCACTTGAACAACGTACGGCTCTCATTGCTTCAATGCTGCAGGTTATTAAACCGAATCAGCTATCGCTGAACACTAAACTATATCGAATTGAATCGACAGCAGATAATACTTACATTTTACACTGTAAGAAAAATGGTGATGACATCGAATTTCGCTGTAAAAACCTTATTCTCAGTGGTGGTCGGTTTTTTCCGATAGTTTCTCAATCGTTTCCCATAGTAAAACATATTTTCAAGCAAGTGGACGTTGGCGTACGTATCTGTGGTCCAGCAAACAATAGTTTATTTTCTGATGCAACAGAAGCAAAGTCAAAGATTATCCCAACAGACAATACCAATCTAGAATATCGAACATTTTTTTGGTGTCGTAATGGAGAATGTATATGGACCGAACAAGACGGAATAGCTGCTTATTACGGTTGCTCTGAATGTTTACCAACATCGGAAAGTAATTTCGGCTTCGATGTGTGTTTCAAGAGCGACGATGGTCAGAAATTTTTAGAAAAAGTTAAGGATATACGTCCATTCGAGCTATCGCTTGCTGAATTGAACAAGCTGCATGACATATATGGTGATGTCGGTACTCATATTGCCACAGGCATTGAATCTTTTCTCGCAAATGTTAGTAAAGATACAAATTTAGATCGACGAATGTTTATACTCAAAGGGCCAACAGTAGAAGCTGTCGGAAACTATCCACTACTGGACCAACATTTGAAAGTACCCGGAGAAAATATTTGGTGTGCAGGGGACGGCACTGGTTTATTCATTGGAATGATACCTGCGATGCTCAGTGGTCTATTTGTCGTTAATCGAGCAAAAAACAATGTCTAAATCAGTGACTGAACTCTCTTATTCTATAAAACGAAGAACACTTTATTTTTTTTTTGACCTACTTAGTTAAAATAAATGATCTTATCATAGAGATAAATTATATTTTGGGTGCGGGTGTAGATGTGATATGTGAGGATGTTTGCGTGTTGGATAGTGTCAGTGTGGGTGTAGTTATTCTCTTTACTCACACCAACATCGACAGCTACACCCACATCCAGTAAGATGTGAAATTTAATTTCTAAAGATATGAACAAATAATGATTGGTCTAAATACGTACAATAAATTTATTGACTTGACATGATTTTCTCTACTTTAGAGAATAAGAAAAAAGACAATAGCATAGCATTGAAAACACGAAATACCATTTCAAGTTGAAGATTAACAAGGATGTGAATGGGTATGGGAGAAGGTTATAGAATTATACTCACATCCACAGCCACGCCCATAGTCACATCCACACCAAAACTGTTCTTAATCTTGAAAGAATAAATTACAGTTCATAATAATGGAATATTTGTGAAAAGAGTTTGGGTATCGAAGTTTTTTCAGTCATGTACTGATTCCTACTCCCACGCACACCCACAGCCACAGCCACACCATTTGCGCTGCAACAGCTTACGAGGATTTTGTTCTCTTCCTTTATCTTTGGTTAACACTGATTCATATTCTGTTGGTAAATACATCGTTGGACATGAGTCAATATTATGATTCATTTAGAATTTTATCCACATGAATACATGTCGTTTGAGAAATCTGTATCTTCGTCGAAAGACTGATAAAGCATTTTTTCCAACATTCATCATATAAAATAGACTTTCTTCGTTGTGAAAATTATTGTTCACATTTCTATTTCACAATAGAACATGAATCCAACAGCTGATTTTTACAAACTGCTTGGTGTTGACGTTAACGCTTCTGCAGAAACCATCCGTCAAGCTTACAAACGAAAAGCTCTCGAGTGGCATCCAGATAAACGCGACAATGATATTCATGCCGAAACTATGTTCAAAGAGATCAAGAAAGCATATGAAACATTGTCCAACGAGTCCACCAAGTTTACATACGATTTAAAACGAGACGAAGACGATGATGATAATGATACTGACACAGTCTTTCAAGATACGTTTCAACTACCTCATGGCAAGCGACCATCTCAATTTTATGAAGAGAAAATTACTAGATGGGTCAATGAATATTCAAACCATATGTTTAAGGACAATTTTGAAAACGAAATTAAAAATATTACAAACGTTATTTTGAAGAAATACAAGCATGAAGCAAGTATTCAATGCAGTAGAGTAGTTTGCTCTGTGTGTTGTAAATACTGTGATGATATGTATGAACACATGCAAGCAATGCAAATGAATTGCAATAATTATCTGCGAAAAATCTGTAAATCCATATCACTCAATGAGCTGTTAGCTTCGCTGGCAGAAAATGATTGGTCATGGAAACCCATTGAACTAACATCATCGACTTGCAAAGAACTTTGGTTCAATCCACATTGGTCTTCTTTTGAAAAACTCATTAATGAACTTTTACCGGTAGTGGATGTTCTCCGAAGTACTAAAACTAACTTCACAAAAATACGAAAAAAGAGTGATTATATGAAAGTTGAGAAAATTGTTCAATCTATTTGTGAAAAAGAACCGATTATTCATAATCCAAATCTAACTCCACTCAAACAAATAATCGATGCGGAACATCGAACATATCGAACCGGTAGTGATGCGAATTCTGCTCAGTATTCAACAGGCGAGCAAATTTGCATTGTAGAAAATTCTGATCGAAACGAGATTCTTAGGCCATTAATGCTTGTCGTACAGTCGCCGCCAATTAAAAGTTCTGAACAACCAAAGTGTTCTTCCTGTTCGAAAAGTTTTGGATTTTTTCGAAGACGATATTGGTGTCGTATGTGTGGTAACAATCAATGTGGTGATTGTCAAACTTGGCAAACTTGTCGTCATTTAGGATATACAACTCCAATTTCTATTTGTCGTCAATGTGCTTCTCTAAGAAAATCGATTTTAATCAATATCATCTTTGAACACATTCAACAATTACTGAATAAACACATCAGCAGTGAACATCTAATTGTGTATATTCATCTGCTCAAACACTATTGTGCATCTGATACTCGTAATGAACAATTATACAAGCAAGCAAGTGAATATTTTCTATCCCAGAAACAGTTTTCAAATGCTATTCAATGCTACAATGTCATGTCATCATCACATGAATCATGGTTTAGACTTGCTGAGCTACTGTGTACTTATTCAGAATATCAATATGCATCGCTTTGCTTTAATGTTATCTCAGAACATTGCCACTACGAGTCGCATAAATGGGATCAAATAGGTGACGATTATCTTACGAAAGGTAATGCCATTTTGGCTCTGCTTAGCTATCGAAAAGCAAATATAAGTATTGAGGAGATTTGGCTAAAAACTTTATACGAAAAGAAACTCAATGCGGATGATAGTGCACTGTTTATCTTCTACACTACATTTCAAAAACAGACTTCGAAACAATTGAAAGAATGGACAAAATGGTTGAGTGAACAGATACAAGTTGAAGGTTATATGCTAGCCGCTATTTCCACTCTTCAGTTAGCAAATTTTTCCACTCAAGAATGGGCCATCGTTTTAAATGATCTGTCTAATCATCATCATTTTATGACAGTGACATCCATATGAAAAATATTAGATAAAACGTTATTGAACCAACTCATGACAAATGATAAATGTACGAATCATTTTCTTCAATTAGCACTTCAATCATTAGTTAATGAAGTCTTGGAAAGTGTTGAAAAATCGATTACACGTATTAATTACCAATCTGACATCAAACAAATCTTATTCGAATTAGCTCTTGTACATGTTTTTCATCTGCCTGATTGGCAAAAAGTACAAAATATTTTTCTTTCAACAGAACAAATCGAACAAGTGCTATTTTGTACTAAGGTTTACGTTCTAATCCAAGCAAAATCATCTATAAACTTCGATTGGATTGAAAGTGGTCTAGAAGCCAATCAACCCATTTTCTATTTACTCGAATCTCAAATAACTAATCGCAGTTATATGGAATTAGCCGATGCTCACGCAAAATCAAAACATACTGAGATAGCTTTGAATTATTACTTGCTAGCACTCTATTCATCACCACAACTATCTACTGTAGAAACTATTCTGTCATCAGCCACCCGTCTTTTATCATCATCAGAAGCTCTCCGATGTTACATTGCTGTCTATAAACAATTGCGAACTAATGTGACATGTGCCGCCAAAGCATTAGAGTCGATTGTTGATTTCTTGCAAGCTCATAAAAAGCCTATTATGCCTGTTCTTGCTTCAGCTATTTTAGCTTTAGGAGAGTCAGGTAATCATGTTTCCAATCTTTATGTGTGTTTACTCGAAGAACTTTCGAAACAATTCGACGAAAATTTTTCTCTTATCCATGCTATCCATCATGTTATGACGAATATATCACCATCAACACAGGCTTTATCGCAAAAAATGCAAAAACTTATTCTCGGTTATCGTGATTTTTTACAAGCGAAAGTTTACAATGAAATCAAACAAGTCGTATACGAAAATATAGTAAAATTAGCAGTGTGTGCGAATGATGTCACCGATATTGATGCTCTTAAACGTATTAAAAAGGAATATTTTGACAATCGAAAGATATCAACTTTACCAGGTGAATATCGTGCCAAATTCTATATGATCGAATGCATGATTGCCAAATTGGAAAATCGTAATATAGATGCTGTAGAAAAATTGAACGAAGCGATAGTTGTTTGTGCAACAGAAGATACGGTCACAGCAGTTCTTATGATTTTGATTTATCCAAGTTTCCATCAAGCGATCTTGAAAGATTTACTTAATTTCATTCAAACATTAGTAACAACATCTGAAACAAATTCTTTCGCATCGTTTGTTCCACCACCACTACCAATATGGTTTTCAACTGAAAATCTTCTTACAATGAATCCAAACTTAAGACTTGTGCGAACATATGAACGAGCCAATTTTAAAACGTTTGAACACAGATCCATTACAATCGACTTTTTTCTATATTGATATGTGTCAAGCAGTGCATGATCCAACATGTATTGTATCAAATTGGACTATGGCATGTTTATATTTTTATGATTTATTATCAAAAACGAATCCTATCCTTGGAAAAGAAGCTGAAGTATATGCTTATCGAAATGTTATTAATGAACTTGTCTGTCAAACATTTCTATTATCTCGTACCTATTTACCACCACATATGCAAGTTTGTATTTTTCGTCGTCTGCTTCCAGTTCTCCTACAAACAGCTGAAATTTTTCGATCTTCAATTGCTCGTAGACGATCACAAACATCATCACATAGGACAATTCAAGAAATGGTACTATCAGAACGAGAGAGTCAGATTATCAATCAACTATTGGACTTTACAATTCATCTAACTAAAGTGTCACCCCTCATTAAATTGCCAACATCACTCACCTTTGATATTCTTTATCGAGAAGCAGTTGGCCAATGTTTTCTTGTTCGCTTTCTCGAAGCCATAATTGAACAAGATATTGAACAGTCGTATTTATATGAATATTATTTGTTTGAAGGTGTATGGCAAGGATAGGCACGGGATCATGACTTTAATAAGACTCGTCGTTCGTGTATGAGTGCACTTTTGGATACAAATGATTGGGATACCTTTGACGTTCAGTTGTTACTTGACATTCCTTTAATTCCTCGCACGAGCGACGGATGGCTGTATCGTGATTGCCAATCACTGGTATTCTCGAGTGGTTAACGATTCGCTCGTGTTGACGGGATTGCATTCGATAAGAACATTGGCCAAGTACAGTTTCACTTTCAACGTACTCGTAGTTCTGTTTATGGATATGAAAATGCTTTGTTCAATACTGTTGATGTGACTGAAGTATTTAAACGTGGATTGACTCATGCCATATTTACGCTGAATCAGCCAGATAACGAATGTCACGCACACCAATTTCAAGAAATGCTATATGGACCATCTTCTCTACTGAATACTCAATATTTGGCCACTTTACTCCACACAGATTATCTTCTGAAAATGTTTACAACGGGAACCGAAGTGTCTGCTAAACCATCATTTGAGATGCGCTCAATTGATGAGAGTTTTTTTTCAACGACTTCCAGAACATTTGCAACAGAAAATGAAACCGTTACATAAATGCGAAAGATACTTTTCTTTCGGTCGAGCCAATCGCTTTTGGATAGAAGCGGACGAAATTATTTATGAACAACAAGAGACAGAAACGAATACCATTTTTCGAGTGGCTGATGTACACCTACGAGTACGCAAACACTTACTTATCCGAAATAGCGAAGGAAAATTAGTCGACGATGAAAATGAAAGTGAAGAAGAGCAGCGTTCTGCTGAAAGTCTTTTTGCCAAAGCATTTACAGATCACTATGATGAAATTGGCTTCTATTTTCCGGAACTTCTTAGTCTAAAAGAATTACTTAAGCTCAGTGCTCTGTATGTGTTTGCACACGCTCAATATCAACAATTATCGAAAGCAATCGACCACACTCCGATAATGACTTATCTTACGGGAGTGCGAAACACTTTGTCCGACTATCCTCATAGTAATAATGCATCTGTTGAAAAGTATTACAATCAAATATTGTCTGATAATGGCGTTTCACCATGGGAAGTTCCATCACAGCAAGCTAATGAACTTCGATCGAAAGTTCGGCAACAATTGGAGCTAGTTGATCAAAATATTTTGGATAAACTTACCATGAGTTTATGTAAACAAACTCATGCGATAGTCTCAAACGAAGTAAGAGCTCTTGTCAAAGCTTGGTTAGATGGATATAACAATGAAACGACACATTTAGCGCAGTTTCTCGCTAAAGGAATCACAGATTTTAATCGTCACCTGAAAAAACCTATAGAACAGTTAGGTATTCAATTGGAGCACAACGATGATGCATATAACACTCTCAGTATGCCGACATGATTCTTCTACATTTCATTGTTTTCTTTTATTAATTGTTGTTGTTTTAGAGTATGCAGGAGATAGTTGTAATTGGGTTTCCGCCGTGTTCTTGAATGTATTCGGCAACGGTAGACGTATTTATGGTGGAGTAAATCTACAACTAAAACTAACTGAAGGACATGTACCAAGAAATAACTCTACCAGCACCTACAATGCCAATACATTTTTTTTCAATCAATCTTCGACAACATCAAGTGCTCCAACAGCTGGTCCACGAAATAATCAAGAACGACAAAATATGAAGCAGGAACTTGTTCGAAACTCCAGAAGACAAGGTNATTTTTCACATCGAATAGTCACCTTGGAATCTGAAATCCAATGAGAAATAGTTTCCCTAGGCAGTTTGCAAAGTGTTCGACGAGCGCTCTTCGGATTGTTTGATTATTGACCAATAGAATTTGACATAGTTTTACTTCCCTCACATTGCTCTTTCGAATGCTGAAAAATCGCAAGTTGATAGCTGCTTCCGTTCTCGAGATATTCAAAAACCACTCGTGTTCATCGTATTTTGCTGCCGATAGTAGTAGTAGTCTTCTACTCATTGGTAAATAAATGCGATCAATATGATGTTTTACATCTATGATCGCCTTCGATTAAACTTCGCTGATTTCAAAAGTAAAATATGATCCAAGTCATTGAAGAAAATTCTATTTGTGGCATACATATACCTCGTAATAATAATGAAATTGATATATGTTTATAGGTTTTTGATGGTTGTTGCCAAGCTTGTTCCAACATATAAAAGTAAGAATCACTCATATTATCATTAAATTGCAATTCTTTCAATTTTTCATCAGTAAGAAGTTCACCTAATATGCTGTATACATAAAATAAATATTGATAAGGTATTGATTTATTCATAGTTCTTAATAATAATAATATATCTGGTAGTTGTGTCATTGATCGAAAGTACCAATTTATATTTTGTGTTTGTACTATATTCATTAAAAAGAATAAAATAATATCAAGTAACATTGCTTCATCATCTAATCGTATAGTTTTGATTTCTTTACAAAATGATACATATGAAATAATACGAATTAATGCTTTGACATATTCAATTAATATATTTTCATTGGGAAAAAGTATTTTGTTTATTTCGTCTTCTATTTTATTTAAAGAATAACATGCACATATCAATCCAGTAAGATGTCTAATACAAGTTAATAATTCTTTACTCCAAAATTGAATAGTATAACTATGAATTTGTATTATTTGTAAGTAAATATTACTATGTTGTTGAAGAATTTCATTAGTAATAAAAGAAAAATTTTGAGGTTTGGTATAAAAATAAGTTGTCAAAGAAAATGAACATGTTTTTATATAGAAAAGCTGTTTAGAAGTAAATATTGATGGTGATAATTCTGATTGATGAAGTTGAATTAAATATGATTTAAATAATTTACTCAATACAAAGTTTTCCTCAAAATATTGATTAATATAAATAATGATAGGAGAATGACCTAATTGTGGATATTCTTGAACAAGAAATGAAAGATTATCAAACCAAAGACTGACAAGAGTGATAAATGAATTATGATCATTAGTACATTGTTTCACTTGTTCGAATATAAGATTGATTTGATCGATTGTTTCAGGAATAAGAAGAGAAAATTTAATATTATCTTCAATATTATTATCAATAAAAATTATTTGTTTATTAAATAATACTAAAATATGTAACAATTCTTCATATTCTGTTTGATTAACACATTGAAATGATTCTTGACTTAGTTTTTGCCATGCCCATCGTTCGAGAATAAGTAATGATTCAAATACTTGAGATATAAATAATGGTAATGAATCATCTGTTTGTTCTTTAAGAATAAATGTTATTTGACGAAGAACATCAACCGATAAAGATGATACGTTGAGAGTAGCAATAAATTGTTCAAAGTTGGCTTTCATTGTTATTGTGTAGTATGTACACTTTTCTATTCATTCTTGTTTAATATGGTATAAGTCAACGAATATGATTTTATTGTAAGAATGCATACGAATAGACCTTGATCTTCGTCTATTATGCTCGACTTTTTCTCATTTATGTTCGGTCTATTACTTAATACCAGTGGGAGCAAAATTGTCGTATTTTTTTTTTCTTTTTTAATAAAAAGACCTTTACGATCATACTATTTTTGTAAAGCTTTTGCGAAAGCACAAGAGAATAATACCATGTTGCAAATATTGGATTAGTTTTAGCGTTAAACCATGGTTTGTACAAAGAGTACTATTTTCTCGTTTTTCATAGATTAAAATTTCTGATAGTTTATAGGTCATATATTTGTGCGCATTTAGTAGGAAAATGCGCACACAAAAACGAAACCAAAAATAGATGTCACATAAAAAAAAATATTTTGAGAGATCGTTATTCATACGAATGGCATAGAAAATGTCGAAAAAAAAAATGTCGAAAGTAGAAACGTCGAAAAAAAAACGTCGAAAAAGAAAATGTCGAAACAAAAAATGCCGAAATAAAAAAGGTCGAAAAAAAAAGGTCGAAAAAAAAACGTCGAAAGAAAAATGATCGAAAGATAAACATATCGAAAGAAAAAATATCGAACGTCTAAAATGTCGAAAAGTTCCAAGATGGTCAATATAAACAATTCACTATAAAATTGTCTCCTACGGGTCGCTAGCATTACCGTCCGGTATTCTTAGNTCCAGACACCATAAACAAATATAATTAATTCATCATAGATTTGTTTACAGAGAACTTTTTCTTTATGTGAATAACTAATCATAATATCAAATGTTTTTTCATCGTCAATACTTAATGTTGAATGACTTTCATGATTAATTTCAAGATTCCATAGAATTCCATGTATGATTTTTCTCATTTGTTCTTTATCACATTCTTTGGATAGTAGAATTAATTTATGCACGAATGATGAATTAGAACGAAGTTGTTGTTGAATATCTTGATTAAATGAAAGTGCCCATATAATATCGAATGCAATTGGATATTCATCACACATTTCAATGAAAATTGATATTTTATTCAACTCAGCCGTCCTCTGTTGAATGAAATCGTTTTTTGATAAATTTAAGAATCCTGAAAAAAGTATATGCTTTGAGTTTACGTATTTAATAAAGATATTGAGTCGTTTTCAAGACAGTTACGATGAAGATAAGTCTGTAAATGAAGACTAATTAGGTGAGAACTTTCTAGTCGAATTATATATTTGCTCTTAGTTTAGTTAGAATATGTTTTATACTGCATTTTGGCTGTATTTTTTAGCATAATGCAGTGATTCCTTCAAGGAATACTAGAAAAATTTGTTCTCGAATTTCGACTTGAAACCTTCTATAGAAACATGTCTTACCGATAACAGTTTATTATGAAAGTCTCAGATATTTTCGTTTTTCCTATCCTAAGATACAATTATGGTAAAACTTTATCGTTCACAGTGCTTTTGTACACCGGCACATCCAATGTTCTTATATCAGAATAGGAGCAAATCAAAAGGCTTGGAACTTTAATAATACATTATGCTCTTTAAAACCTGTCTCTATTCAAATTTTCAAGCAGAAATTTGAAGATGAAATTCCTTAGTGTTCCTGTGGGCGGCCACAACATTGTGCTAAAACATACAGTATCTTCGTAGCAATAGGATAAGAATGCGAACTGTTTTAAGGAGATTCATAGCTCATTAAAATCTACATCATATATGTCATCTAGAATTCAAAGCATTTTTTATCATTTGATAAAGTTACCTCGTAAGAAATAAGTAATCGGTATTTGGTGATACTTTTTCGACGGATTATGCCATGCTTCTTCAAGCATTTTAAAGAAAAAATATCTTATATTATCAGGAAATTTCAATGCTTTTAAATGTTCATCAGTAAGAATTTCACTTAATATTCCATAAGCACATAAGCATATTTGATAATATGCCGATGATTCAGCTATTTCCAAAAGTGTGTCTGATAATTGATTCATCGAATGAAAAAACCAACTGATATTATGTGTTTGTATTATATTTATTAAGAAAAGTAGAGTAGAATCCATTAGAATAGTTTCATCATTGATCCATTGTGACATAATAAATCTAGAATGTGCTTCATAAGTAATAATACGAATTAATGCATGTATATATTCATGTAATATTTTTTCTGTTGATAAAAGTATTTTAAATTTCGTTCCTTGTTCTCCATTCCACCAAAGAAATGAACGCATAAAAGCAATTAAATGAGTAATACAAGTAAGTAATTCTGTACTCCATAATTCAGCAGTATAACTATGAATTTGTATTATTTGTAAATATTCATTACCAATATTTTGAAGAATTTGATCAGGAGTATAATCAAAACTTGAAGGATTACTATAAAAGTAGGTACTCAAAGACAATGAACATGTTTTCATATAAAAAAGTTGTCTAGAAGTAAATATTAATGGTGATACTGGTGATTGTCGTAGTTGATTTAGATAAAATTTAAATTTTTCAGTAAGAATAAAATGATCTGCAATATACTGATTCATTTGAATCATAATAGACGAATGTCCTAATTGAGGATATTCATGTATAAAAAATGAAAGATTATTAAACCAAAGACTAGCAAGAGTTATTAATGGATCATTATCATCAATGCTTTGTTCGACTTGCTTGAATATATTAATAATTTGGTCAATCGTATCAGGCATAATAAGTGAAACTTTAATTTCATTTGTAATATGATTTTGATTAAAAATCAAGCTTTTATTGAATGAACCGAGTGTTTGAAAAAATTCTGAATAGTGTGAATCATTTAACCAACGACTAGAATCTTCACTTAATAATTGCCATATTTTATGTTCCAACGTAAACAACGATTGATATTCTTGTGAAATGAACGATGATAATGCTTCATCAGTTTTTGATTGAAGAAGCATCGTTATTTGTTGAAGAACATCAGTAGATATAGGATATATGTTTAATGCAGCAACAAGTTGCTCTAAATTTCCTTCCATATTTTCTAAATTTAGTCTTGCTCTGTGTATATTTTGGCCTAATTATTATATATCATCGATTGCGTATGAAAAATACTTTTTGATCGAGCGGACATACCTGAATGAGTATTATCAATACTTTTTTCACTTTGTTATTCATATCTGTACTACCTACTGGCATGCGTCAGAGCCTTTATGACTTTGTTTTATTCGTTATTTTATTTTAAATGACAACAAGGACTAATCTGATCACATATCTCATATATGACGCTGTCATAATAAATAGATGTAATATAAAAAGAAGAGCAAGTTACTTCGTTATTTGATAAATATTGATAATATTATCAAAAGAGAAATATTTGCGAAAAAGTCATCGACATATGAGAGTTTGTATCGTTTATGTAAACTATCGTTCTCGATTATTTTGATCAAATAAAAATAAAGACGCATTCAAAAACTATTTTCTTTACCTAAACAAACTTAATAAAATCAAGTAACACCCTTCATATCGAAACTAATTAATTATTCAATCATCTTTATTTTTCTTCTATTACATTTATTTGTTTACATTATATTATTTAAATCTTCATTAGGTTAATTCTTCAAAACTAATTTTAAATTGATTTTAAATTATAAAAAATTATCTAAGAAACTATAAAACAAATTAAAAACTCATTGCTCTTGCGTTCGACAAAAGTCAACACTTTGTTAACCTTGGTAAATAATTATATCTATTTAGTATTAAAAATTTAAGAATTTTCCAATAATTTAAATTGATAAAAATTGTTCTGTAAAACTAGCTGACGTTAAGTCTAAAGAAAACATTTGGAATACATTAATAGAAAACTTACTGATGATGAGAATATAATAATATTATATCAGTACAATTAAAATTTTTAATCGATCATGATTGTAATAAAATCAACAAACATTAATAATTTCATATGTGCTTCCTTCAAGGAGGAAAGAATTGATTTTTTCTTGTATCAATTTTAAATTTTAAAAAAATCACTTATTTGATTTTCAACGTTTTGTGTCTTAATTTTAAACATTTTCTTATAGTTTAAGTCTGTAGTGAATGTTGTATAGTTCGGTATGATTAAGGGTACCCTCCGCGCTCTTTTTTTTGATCAAAAACTCGATTTTGAGTTGGGCATAAGGTATGATAGCCTCAAGTGTTATGTGCAATTAGAGACATCATTCGACTCTAAACACCTTACTATTACAGANGCAGGCACGATTGAGTGAATTGTAATTTTGCGTTACGCTAAGTAAAGAAAAAAAATTTCTCATGATTACTATGAAAAAAAAAATTTCTTTAATTCAGTAACTCTGTAATAGTACGGTGTTTAGAGTCGAATGATGTCTCTAATTGCACATAACACTTGAGGCTATCATACCTTATGCCCAACTCAAAATCGAGTTTTTGATCAAAAAAGACCGGGGGGGGGGGGGTACCCTTAATACTATTTATCACATTAAACTATTCAAAAAAAAAAGAAGCTTATCTTAACATTGACAGCAAGATTTCATTATATGCACTGAAGTCGATATATTTATATATATCTATACGTAAATAAGAAATGATATAGAACAAGCAAAACATTCGTAAAAAAAAAAGAGGATCAAGGTCTATATTGACTAGCTTGTTGATGCTCGTTTTATTGTTGGTATCTGTGATTGTTGTTGTTGCATTTGAGCACATTCAGCGCAAAACCATTTTCCTTTCGGTGGTGTAACAATACCTACACATGGATAATGAAACCATTCCCGACGACATGTTGGATTATCACATGCAATCATATCACCATAACTCATTTCGTTACAAAAACAATAACGACGTTCATCAATAGCTTGTCCAGGAAAATTAGATAAAACATTTGTTGAATCAAAACCACCATTTGTTTCATCATCAAATAAATTTGGTGATGCTGTTGGATTATTTAATTGAAAATAATCTGTTGTTGTTGCATTATTTGATTGTAAATTTGATGCTGATGATGATTCATCACTATCACTTGGTGGTAATATATGATGAAGTGAATGTGGTTGATATGATTCATTAAGAAATGGATTACGTGTTGTACTTCGTTTTCGATGTTTACCAACATTATTTGTTGAAGATATACCTTGTAAACGTTTTCGACCACGTGATGATGTTGATGAATTTGAAAGAACACGTTGTGGATTTTGTTTTCGAGTGAATGATGAAGAAGAATTTGATGGATGTAAGCCTAAAGAAAAACAAACAAAAAAAAAAAAAATTGTCGAAAATACTTTTCCGTTCATTTATATTACCGGTTGATAAACGACGAGATTGAGATGACATTAAATAACTTAATGTTGATTGATTTGTAAAATCATCTGTTAATGTACTTGACATTGTTATATCATCTAATGAATCCAATAGAGGTTCCATATCTAATACAGATGGATCGAAATTACCTGAAATAGAAAAAAAGAAAAAGAAATCCAAATTTTTTAATAATATTTTATTTTTAATAAATTGATAGAATAAATTTTCGAGCTATCAGTGTTTAACTCACGAGAGAAACTTTCCAAATGTCAAGTTGCTCTTTGATCGAGATTATGTTCATTTGATGAATACTAGTGACTAAAAGAAAAGTCTAGAATGGTTTGATTTTTTTGGGTCTTTGTTCTTGAGATATCGAAATTTTACTGAATTAAACTTTGTACAAACAAAATTCTTAATGAAATTATATAATAATGCAAATTTTAGCTGTTCTAGTATTTCTTTTCTACATCTGTATATATCGTAGGTCAATCTCAGATCCAATAATGAACTAGTCCAATGCTCGATTAGAATTCTTGTTGGTAAACTGTGTTGACACAATCGCTCTTCAGTTCTTACAGTCAACAATAAAGATATTAAAGTAGAATTCATGAATAAATTTCTAGTATTTGAATTCAAACTTAATTTCTTCATTGATAATTGTAAGATCTACAGTGCCATTGTATCAACACAGTTCAACAACAAGAATTCTAATCCAGCATTGAACTAGTCCATTCTTGGATCTGATATTGGCCTACGATATATATATATCTGAACAAAATTTACTTTTATATAGAAGAGAATTTTGAATATTCAATATCTTAGGATAGGAAATATTAGAAAAGTGACAACTTGCCTAATGAATTAATATCAGTGAGAACTTTGTTTATGCTAAGTTTGAAGTCATTGCAAGAATGAAGACTTAGAAAATCAAACCATTTTATACCTTCCTATTAATTACTAATACTCATTAAATGAATAATTACCTCGGTCAAAAAGCGATTTGACATCAGAATAGGTACCCTTCATGAAAATATTCTTTCTTCATTGAAGACAGAATCTATTGAATTCAACACCAATCAGGGTGTAGTGTATTCAAGATACTATAGTGCAGCTGCCTATACAAAGAAATATTCAACTCTTTTAGTTTAAAATATACGAGTATCTCGAAGTAGAAAATATGAACATTTTCAAAAAGTGAGAAATTCAAAATAAAACACTTTTTTGCAAAAATCTTAGGATCTGATTTATGTAATTCTATCATTTTTTTTCGAAAAGTTCAAATGATAAAGTCTGAATCGAAAATTTTTGACTTCATGAACTAAGATTATGCATAGATAGTGAAGTCACGATGTTTGAGTAGGTTGAAGTGTATCGTAGATTAACTTACTCAGAACAGGACGAATTAATTTTTACACTACTGATCTTTCAAAAATTGACTCGTACGGTGCATACGTAAATCGCTCGTAACAAATTATAATGCAATGTCAATTAGATCAATGATAATTAGTACACTTAACTTTTCCGTGGAGATCTTTTAAAAATTGTTGAATTTACTTTAGATTCAAAATCTTTCATTATCTATGAGATTATGATATTCTTCTTATTATTTGAAATACTTAAAAATAGATTGAATTGATATTGTTTTTGTGTGAAAACATATGAAGGTAATTATAATCGTTGATTTGAATTACTTACTATTCTCGCCTATTGTATTATCATATTCATTAAATCCTTCACTAGCAAAACCTAAAAATATATTTTATATAAAGAATAAAATTGTAATAAAAATTATTTAAAATAAACATACGTTTTTCTAATGTTTCTGTTATTCCTGAATAATCAGCTTCAAGTTCCATTTTAAATTTATTTAAATCATTTTCAAGTTTTTTATAATAACGTTCAACAATATCATGAGATTCATTAGCTAAATTAATTTTAGTTGTTGTAGCTTTTATTAATTGTCGATGTCTTTCAACAAGTTTATCATATTCAGCTTGTTTTTCTTGTTGTGCAGCTAATTGTTCTGCTGTTAATTGTGGTTCATTTGTATGATTTGAATCAGTTATTGATTCATCATTTGTGTTTGTTATTGAACGATATGTATTTATTTTCGATCGTGTTGGTGAAAGTGATGATTGTTGTTGATATTGACGATAATTACTAAGAAATTTTGATGTATCTTCTTCTAATTGGGCAAATTCAGCTTGAATTTTTAAATCATTTTCACGCATCAAAGTTAATTTTTCACGCATGATTTCAGGTAATGGATCAAGTACTAAAATAAAAGACAAATGAATTAAAAATAAGAAAAAAAAAAACAGTTAAAATTGACTTACATTCTAGATAATCTTCTAGATAATGCATAGTAGAAAAACAAAAAAATGATTAATCTAAAATTATATGGTAAAATCTAAAACAACAATTTATATTGATAGTTGATTTAAAATTAATTCTATTCTAATCAATTTGTGTGTATCAATACATCCTTCCTATCTGATTCATTCTGTCTACCTATGTACCGCACATTTTTGTATGAATCATTAATCAATAGAAAAAAAAATTTAATGTTTATCAATGAATCGTTTATTCAATAAGTCCAACATAAATTCTTATCTATCAAATAAATAGATACATACAACTTTGTTTCAGTAGAACCAAACAAACCACAATATAATGTACGAAAAAAAGAAAAATGACATGATGATAGTACTGTGCCTAAGAAAAC